CTGAAATCGCGTTCGGTCTGAACGCACCATGCCTCTGTGGCGCTCAAGAGGTAGAGGAGCCACATGTCTGGCTCACTGCTGCCAACTAGTGGTCAGAGGCTGAACTACAACATAAAAATGAACGGCTGGCAGGAAAGTTGACATTTTAAACCTTAATAAAAATCGATACAGGGCTTTAGAATATCAATACAGTATCGGGAAATGAAATATCACGATATTTCAGTGTATCGATATTTTCTTACACCCCTATTACATACACCAGTGTTTCACCTACCATTAATGGGTAATGCTGAATAGTTGAATAGCTTAGCTCTAAGTGCTATCAGATCATGTGAAATCTTGCTTGAGATAGTGCAGTGCATAATGTTACTTTCAACATTCAACCAAAATGACAACAACTCTGTCATTCCTCAACACATGCTGAACTTAGTTTAAAATGATACCATGAAAGGAGGCAGACGATTCGTTTTCCTTCAAGGAATGCTAGCTAATGAGTTTAAAACATGAATTATTTCCTACTTGATCATGACTGAAGTTCAACATCACCATCTACACAAGTTAATATTACAAACTCAAATTAATTAAGAGTAAAGCTAAAACCAGGTCATCCTTTTTTATATATGTTTGTGTATTATTCAACATGTATACTTGCTCTTCTTTCCTTCTTCGTTGCCCCCCCCACACACACACACAAACACACACTTTAACACTCCCACACACTACTTCTTTTTAGAGATTAATTGATCATCAATTTAGTTCCTAATTTGGACCAAGTCAGGTGGTAAATGGGCCACTTTTCATTGATTGGTAGTGAAAATGGGCTTGAGTACATTGACAAATTTTGATTATTTATCAATTACGAGCCAAATTGAACTAAATCTATTAAACAGATTCAGAGCCTGATTGGCATAATAGAGTTTGAAAATACAGCTATTGATAATGATTTCCATCTAATTGTCTTTTTCCGGCTGTGGACGCTCGTTGGAATGACAACACAAATTTCATTTTTCATAAAATCAGCTGTGTGTAAGTGAGTAATCCTTCATTAGTCAGTCACATTACCGGAGACCCTTCCCTCCGTTTTGCACCGCTCCTTGCTTAGCCAAGAAAGCCAACAGCACTCTGTCATATTTTACATCAATTACTACTCATTGTAATACAGTTCCATCAAGAAGCTTTTAAACAGGCACCATATGCAATACCACCTCCCGTCTTCAACTCCCAAGCTTGATGCAGAATGAGTGATGTCGCCTATTTAAAGTGGAAGGAAGGCGGCAAAAAGATGGAGGAAGGGAGGCTGGAATCATCGGAATAAAACTGAAGGACAATCTAATAACAAAATGTCCATTCCTCCCCTTCCCGTCTTGATGTTAATTTCTTATTTCTCCCAGTCTTGGAGAGCTGTGTGAATGAGGGGTGGGGTCACGGCTGGTTTTAAATAGACCTGCCACCTCGGGCTTAATGGAAAAGGCAGCTCTCTGGAAAATAGAAAAAAAAGGGAATTAGAGCCAGCTGACACGCACACACACACACACACACACACACACACACACACACACACTCGGCCGCTTTCTCTGGCACTGTATTTTTGAGGCGCGATGTAGTCTGCGCCGGGACCGGAATGACAAAAGCAAATTACTGTTGTCATTTTATTAAGGGCATCCGCCTCGCTGGGGCAGAGAGGCGTTGACTGGAATGTGCAAAAGCCAGTGGAAACAGGCCCGGCTAAAAGAGCAGGCAGGCTTCCTTTAAACGTGAACGGATGAGGAAGAGTCATGGGAGTGAGGAAGACAAAAAGAGAACAGACACAAGTACGATGACACTCAGCGCGTTTAAACCTAACAGCTTGATTAAAGCTTCATGTCATTGTGGCACTTTTGGTGTGGAGGGACTGGGATGTAATATCAGCTGTCTTCTGTTGAAAGAGTTTACTCAACCTCCAACCCTCAGTACAGAAGAAGGACTATCTCTGTGTCTGACTGGGCTGTTGTTTTCTTTGACTGACTGCTACTAGGGGTGTAAGAAAATATCGATACACTGAAATATCACGATATTTCATTTTCCGATACTGTATCGATATTCTAAAGTCCTGTATTGATTTTTTAATTAAGGTTTAAAATGTCAACTTTCCTGCCAGCCGTTCATTTTTATGTTGTAGTTCAGCCTCTGACCACTAGTTGGCAGCAATGAGCCAGACATTTGGCTCCTCTACCTCTTGAGC